AAAGAATTTAACATTTAAACTTTCTTTTTACGTGAGGATTCTAGACTCCTGACTAAGAGGTAAGTTTCCTCTCCAAAGAGTCGACTAATGTAAGAATGTAGGCTTTCACAGATGGCGTCAATGTAATTGTTTGTTTCCAGGCTGTTATGCTGTAGTCGTTATTGGCCATTACTACCAAACGTTACCATGCCACTGAAGATGGCAGACGCAGTTCCAGCTGAAACGTTTGGCTATGAGTGTAGAAAGAGTCCTAAGAACATTGTGGAGATTTGAAAAAATACTCTCATAAAATTGTTGAAATAGTATCTCTTATTGTAAAAGACTAATAAGAGCGATTGTAGGACCTAATTTGTTGTTTAGAAGTAGTTGTAAGAATATTTATAAGATAATGTCAAGACCTTCTAATCGTCAATGTACCAAAGTTTTGACAAAATGATTTCATATTATGAGATTTTTAATCAATATAGGTACAGGATGCAAACGATTTTCAGATTGCCGTTCAACAACAACCAAAGAGATTTCAAAAATGTTCAACAAAAAAAAGCATTTCCTTGAAAAATTACTGCTAAAATCATAGACTGAACTGACAAACGCAATTTCTAAAACGTCATGTCAACCTTACAGAAATGTCGATTTATAAACTGGCTATTAAAATCTTTTGTGCCAAACATCGTTATTGTTGTATCTCACAAAAGTTGGAGCAATAAATCAAGTGACAAAGGTGCAAACCATAACTAATATTGATGTATTTTAAGCATTATTTGTACCCAGTAGGGTACGTGAATGGAAGATATATGGACTTAAGGTTACACTAAGAAAAATAGTTACATTTTGTCGAATGTGCTAATTACGAAAAATGTTTGATCTACAAACAGTTTTATTGTTTATTTTCAAAAATCCAATCTTTACACCGAAATTTGGGTCTGTCAAAATGTTCCGCTAATTAAAGTTTGTACCTATATTAAACTGTTATAACCTAAATTTTGCATAGCATGTTAGAAGTTTAGTCACAGTAAATTTTTTTAATATCCTAACAAATATATATTTGTATTTCTTTTTTTGTTATATACAGGTTATATTAGAACCTTATAGTACAATATCAGTTTTGAATTTTAAGTAGCCAGTACATTTTTCTACATTTTAATATTATTTATTCATATTTTTATATTATATTCCTTTACATCAGAGCTACAAATATTAATGTTTATATGATTCTTTTATAGTCTTTTTGCCTTGTGATTTCATGGTCCAGTTATTTTTCTTAGTTCTTCTCGTATTCTACAATCAGTAGTGTATCACCAAAGGCGCACAATTATTATTAAACGCTTTCTATGTTACTTTTATCCTGTTTTTGACCTCTTTGGTAACTACATAAAAAGTAGATCAAATTAAACATTTTTCTGTGTGTATTTGGAAGAAAGTCGAAAGTGCCAGTCTCGGACAATCGACGGAAAACATTCGAACAGCTGCTTGGAAGGTCGGGCCGAGCTGTCACATTAATTTATGTCTTGCGTATCGGTCTGAAGCCCCCTGCTATGACTGTTCTTATATTTTTCCATCGTCATGATGTCACTCGAAAATAGATCTCACTGTGCAATTTTGCGTGTAATTCATTGCCGGCGGGTAAACGAGGGCTCTCACAAAGGCCCACGTCACAGTCGGTATTATTCAACAGATTTACTACTCAAAGACATAAAAACACCTAGAATTATATTTCATTTCGATAATGGTTCCCGTTTTGTGAGGTTATGTGCCAGGCAGAGTAATGGTGCTTGTTCGGGAAATGGATTTCAGATGCACAATGCACAATGACTACGAGACTTTATTGACTTACCCAAGCGAGAACAAACTTAATGACCTTCTGGGTAAGGGTGTATTTTTTATACTCGACATGCTTTTATCATTGTCATGAACATTTTAAAATTTCACCGTGCACCACCATACACCGACGTGGGATATTCGTAATATATTAAAGGAGAAAGAAAAGTTAAACTATGTACTAGTTTCGGTCAACTTGACCATCAGCAGGCCTAGAAGAAAATATATACGTTAGATTAGATTAGATTTCAATGGGACTGTGTGCCATGTTATCTCTCCCACTCGACCTTTTCAGATCTATTGTGAATATCCTTAAGTCTAAGTTCAACGCGTTTTCAATGACAAGTGACGGCGACTTTTTGATCATAAAATGCAGCTCGGAACGATAATATTTTTAAAAAATGTTTTTAAAAATGGGTTCAGGGTACCGTAGAGAATGGTGGAAAGTCTATTAGTTTGTTTTACTTTACTTAATGCATAATATTTTAATGAGTGATATTTTACAAATATTTAAAAGTTATGGATTTTCCACCATTTTTTATAGTATTTAAAAGCTAAAACGAAAAATACAATCTTTAATTTTTACTTAATTATTTCAGGAAACTGTTAAGATTTAAAAATGAACTGTCCATAAGATGCTGCCATCTGAACAGACGGAGTAGACACTAAAGTGAAAGATTGCAACATCGCTCCCTATGCAGACAAATGTAAAACAGATTTTTAGCCCAATTTGACTATGTTCCTGGGTGAGGGGCGAGGTGCTGTGCGGGGAAAGGTTTCAAGTAAATAAATTATTCTATAAATGGTATTTTCTGTTTGAAATACAACACAAATATGTTTGTTTTGAAAGTTTGACATTTGTGGTTTGGCTTGTCACTTCATTTTATCGACTTTAATAATTTAAAAGATAAAATGTACTTATTATTTATATATTTTCCAATTATTGTAGATCCAGAAAAGGTATGTTTTCGGTTTTTATTTAATTTTTTTTTTTCTTTAGTTGGCTAGTTTGCTAATATCACAATTTTAAAATTTAGTAAAAAAATAATGTAATAATATAATAATAATAATTATAAAATTAATTATTATAAATTAAATTCTAAATTTAATTGCAATTGTTTTGATAACAGTATTTGCATATGGTCTGTGAATAATTACCCCTTAATATTTGAATTTTTCTACTAACTGTATAGAATTTCCTCAAATTTTCTATATTGTTTGTCCACAAACTGCATATAGTTATCAGCATATATTTTGTTTTATTTGTGTTGATTTTTAACTGTATACTCATCGGTTATTGTTAAACATAGTTTTAAAAATGACATTTGTTTTTGGAATATAACCTGTTAAAAATAAAACTCCTGTTAGCTAAAGTGAGTTTACCATATTCTTTGTACAACCAGCCCATAATGTATTTTTTAATAACTATAACTATTTAAATATTATTTTTATTTTTTCAGTAACAGTTTCCCTGTAACTTCTGAACTATGTTTTATTATATTTTTAGTTGCAAACAAGAATCTGATGAGTACCTACATTGTATAGATTTCAATATTCAAAGGGTCCTGAACATATACCGACAAACTCTTGGGAGAGGTAGAGGGGAGATTTCTACAGAAAAATATTTTTGGAATAAATTCGTAATTATATTTATTGACATTTGTTATTTTTAGTTTCAATGACTCAATTGAAACATGATAATCAGTCGCATCAAGGAATATCCTCGATACTTAAAAAAATGGTATGAGATTAAGCAGATTTGATGCTACGTCACATTGTGGTGTGAAGATGTGGCTTGTACGAATTTTGGGTATCAGTTGATCAAAAACAGTATGCAAAAATAAATTTAAATCTGCATAGCTATCATAGATAGCCATATTCTGTACCACAATACGTCCTGCGTGAACTCGATGAGATTTCATTGGCTAAGTATCATACCTCTGTAATGTTTTGTATCATTAGGAATATCAACATTGTAAACAATTATGACCAGGGTTTTCTTACCTTTTACCTAGGTCAGGAAAAACTAAATAATTTATAGTAATAAAGATTGAAAAAAATATATATATTCTTTTACTTGTTTTATTTTGTCAGCCATAGTTTTATACCAAAAATGAAAATAAACCGAAATTATGCATTAACAATACATTCATAAATTTACCATATTTATAACATTCATCAACTCTATCCTAACTAAAATATTACTTATCTATCTATTCAGCTCTGTTCCGTCTATTTTTTGACTTTAGACTCTTTCTGGCATCTCCATTCGTTCTTTTTCAGTGTAGTATGCATGGTTTTCACAACTTCAAGTTTTATATCTATCTGATGCTGGGTCCTTCAAAGTTCATCGTCAGTACACCTGCTTATCTGACATCTATCTCGATGTCAATCTTGATTGAACATTTGTTTCTTGATTCTTGCCTATTACTCTTATACTTAACCAGAAGTCGCTTAGCTCGACCGCAAATGTCAAATTGGGCCAAAACAAGGCCTTGGTACACAAATATATATTTTACCGCTGGTTTCATTACAATGATCGATTGTTTAATACAAAAAACTCGAGTAAAGTGTAAAATTATGTTTTGTTCAGTACACTCGTATACACTTGAGTATTAGCCTATATTATTTTTGATTGAAGACGTATAGATTTAAAAATGTCATTTACTTAAAAATAAAAATATTTATTTTTGATATTTTATTTAACTGAAAACATTTTAATTATTGTTTTCCATTTATATGGCTTATACCGGGCCTGTATGTACTTTAGTAGCTGACAGTGTTGCCGTCAGTTGATGCTACATATTCATTAGTGACACGTTTTATTAAATTCATGGTGTTACATACTTGTTGAAATAAAGAGATAGAAATTTAAAGTGACGTCTTGTATTACTTCGAACGAAAAATCGATATTGCAAGTTTTCTAACCTAAAAAAATCATGATTATATCGCAAACTAAATTGAGTTGGGTCTTAAGACGATGATTCGGACTTTTGATTTGACATCCGAAGTGTAAACATCGCTGTCAGTGAAAATTTAACAATCTTTTGTTATTTGGGCTTTACTAACACCATCCTTTGTATTTTCAACCATTTCCTTCCTCATATTTTTAGTAAGTAATTGTATATAAACATATTTTTGTGACACAAAACAAATAGAGGTTAACTTAACCTGCAACCCACATGGAGTTGGGGGTCAAGGATCCTCCAGATCCTCCGCCAAGAGTTAAAAACTTGTATTCGAACACAGACTCGGGCCCCTTCGAAGTGTATGTCCAAGGAAAAACAAATAATCTAGAAAGTCTTTATATACTAAGTATAGCAAAAACCATTTTGATTCTGAAACTGAAGGATATCCTCAAAATAGTAAGAAAAGGTAAAAACCGTATTGGTGCAATTTTTACCAATGCTCAAGCTGCCAACCAATTTATAGAGGATAAAGAAATGGAAAATAAAGGTTATGCAGTTTTTATTCCATCACACAATGTCTCTTGCAAAGGGATTGTAAGGCACGTGGACAGACCTTTTACAGATGATAAAATTAAAGAGGCAACTGAAACTCATTCAGTGAATTGTATACTTCTTCATGTCAAACGTCTAAATAGAAGAGTTGTGGAATCCAGTAAAGAAATTTTCTATGTACCAACAGGTACGATTTGTATTACTTTTTCAGGAAAAATTATCCCTAAAGAAATTTCAATTTATGGTCTCCCAGTCAGAGTTGTACCATATATCACACTCCAGTAAACAATGTCATAATTGCTTGCTTTATGGACATCGTATTAATCAATGTAGAGGAAAGGCCAAATGCATCAAGTGTGGTAAATCGCATGAATCAGATGTTACTTGCAGTAGGTTGTTACGGTCTGGTGGTGCCAAATGGTTTTATTATTAAAGTTAGCTTACCGTAAATTAAATAATACAAAAACACTTAGTAATGATTCCTATATTCATATAATCATATAAGCATATACCTCCAAAAATCAATTGTACTTTAAACTAAGTCCTGTCCATACGGTTCAGCATCTAAAAATAAAATATAGATTATTAACAAACGAATTAATACTAAAACAAAGTAATAATAATAATAATAATAATAATTTATTCATCCAAAATATACATTACAGTTAAAACAAAATTAAAATACAATAAAAAACTAATAAGTTTGGTATGAATAAGCTACTTGATAAGTGATAAATCACTTGTTTCAAGAAGAAAATAAAAGTTATTAAAATAATTATTTTGTGACTAAAATAGTCACAACTTATTTTACTAGAACTATCAAGCAAAATTTACTATATTTTACACTCTAAAAGTAGGAGATTATAAGTACAATAATTATAAACATATACATAGACATAGACATATACACACTAAAATAGAATATAATAAAGTAAAACCAATTAAATAGCAATAATAATAACAGACGTGCAGTGTGGGAAAAATTTAATTAAATTATTGACTTCATTGGAAAAATTAACAAAGCCTGACATCATCTACCTATATTTTTTATCACATGAAAATTATACTCATATATCTTTATACAGCCTATAAGTATAAGTTTACAATTTTACGGTAAGCATTTTTGATTCTATTAAATCATTTATTATTTGACGGGAAGTATTAAACAATAGATTTTTAATTTGTATCTTAAATGTAGATTTGTGAATAAGATTTTTAATGGATTCGGGCAATGGGGCATGTTCAAAAATTTTGAAATTTTTTTTATGAATAGTAGAGTTAAAAATAAAACTACATTTTTTTTATTTTTTTTTTATCTATTCATTTGCCGGAGTTATGAATTTTTTTAAAATTAATGACGTCACCGGGAATAGACCAATAGGAGCTAGCGCACAACGTTGCCGGCTAGAAGGTTTACGAGAAGTGATGTACGTTCGTTTGTGTACTCCTTCTTACTTTTAGACTTCTAAAACATCGTTAAACAAATATCTTTTAAATATATAATATCAAATGTTTTTTGAAAGTATTGTTTCTGTTTAAACTTTTACTATATTTAAAGTTTTATTGTTTTAAAAGTCACTTAATAATTCAGAAAATGGCAAAACGGCAGCACTGTATGTCATCTGTCATAGTGTCTCCATCAATAATTTATTTGGAATTTGAGTGTTTATTTTGTACTTTTTATAAATAAATATTATGACTACGAAAAAGTGTTTTGTTCCAGAATGTGATAATGATTCACATTCATCTTCAAAAATATTTATTAGTGTTCCTAGAAATTTGGAAAGAAGAAAATCAACCTTCTACTAGCGATGTTTCTCGTAAACTTTTTAATAAAAATACACCGGATTATCAAGATGTAGAATAGCAGCAATTTCTGCTAATTGTCCCCTTCAGGAAATTGAAAATGAGGCTACTAGGTGTATAACCTAAAAACCCTTCTGGAAGAAAATGCAGAATCTCCTGAAAGTTTTGAAGATACCGAATTTATTCATCATTTTGTGGAAGAACTAGTGATAAAGAAATAATAGAAAAATGTGGGTATTTAAACAAACTGGTTCCTGGATCCCATATAATGGCAGATATGGGTTTCAGAATATTTAGCTACTTGAAAACATGGGATGCACTTTAGTAAAGCCACACCTAGTGTATCACAGAATGAAAAAAGTTCTCCAGAAGATGTACAATTAAGTAAATGAATAGCATCTCTAAGAATACATGTGGAAAGAGTTATAAGAAGGGTTAGTTAATTTAACAAGTTAAAACCACATTTGTGTGTGAATTTTAAGCAAGTACATTTACTTAGTAATATCTGCATAATTGTTTGTTAACTTACAAGAACCTATTTTGTAAGAGTAAATATTAATTTAATAAATTTTGTTTGTTTGTTTGTTTTTTTAATTTAATTTACCTAATTATCACATTTCAGGGATTATAATGAGTTTTTAAACAGCCAATGTAATTTTTTATAAAATTTTAACTTTTCGAACAAATCAAAGAGGAATGAGTACTTGTATATGCATAAATTTTTTTGGGACTAAAACTACCAAAACAAAGGCACCTATTTACAGCAGTTTAAAATGAAACATTTTGACAAAAACGCTTATGTCACAGTGATAAATATTAAAAACAACCAAGTTCAGTTGAATGTGGTAGCAAAGTCTATATATTCCAATAAATCGGGTAACTACATGTGGTATCACTGGTGATAAATTTAAAAATATCACAATTCTTGCTACCTTTTTCAAAAAACCAGAAAGTGTGCCTTCTTATCAATCCTTTATAAAAATGACAACAGTGATAAATGTAAAAAAAAAATTTAATGTTGCTATTCGTTATTACGATAGTAAAACATGTTTGCAGTTCCGTTTATTTTTTATGAAAATCTAAGTAAAAACAACCAATGTCAAAGGGTTATAATTTTTTTTCTGTTGAACCAAATATATCACAAAATTTAAAAATTGATCATAGGTCAAGCAAGTAATACCTTTGATGATAGTAGCTTTAAAAAAGGAGAAAGAATAATATTGACTTAAATTATTATTATTATTAACATTGGTGATTTTTAATAAAAACTCTTCAATTATTGTTTACAAACAAAAATATAAAAATCTGTGAAAATTTTATTTATTAATATTTTAATAAAAAATGAGAAAAATGAAGTAAAAACAATTTATTTACAAATAAAAAATATATATACAAATCCTAAGAATATAAAAGTACTGATTTATTTTCCTGTAGTGGATGAAGAGGTTTCTTTAACAATCTAGCCAAGTGTACATCAATATTTACGCATTTTGATAAATTAGAGCCTTTCCAATAACACTGAATAGATGTTACAAATAGTTCATCACTTCTTCTATGAAGCCACATATTTACAACCAACTGAAAAAATAAAAGGGTTAGATATGCAGTTACAAAATAACTATATAACCGGCTACAAAATGCCTTTATTTTATGTAACAAGACGAGCAGAGCTTTACTAGCTCTGAACCTCGGATTTTCAAAACTTAAAAAAAAACAATCTCACCACATTTTTGAAATATTATAGAGCTTTTCGAAAAAAACTGCTATTTTTAAAAATACAATTTGTTTAAACAGCTATGTCTCATTTTAGGCTATTGAGTATTATAAAATAAAAAATTACGGGATGCTTTGTTAGCTTCAAACTAATCCAGCAGAGCACCCCAGTTTTTTTTTAACCACACCACGTTTTTTGGCTCCTACAATATTATAAAATATTCGAAATTTGGCATTTTAAAAAAAATTCGCAATTCCTTGCTGACTTCAAAGTTTTTTTCTGAAAACAAATGTACTTACCACATTTTTAGGATTTTAAAACAGCCTAAACATGTGTCATAAGTAGTTGTTTTTATATATAAAAAAAAAAAATTAAAAAACTGAAGTGTCCTGCTGACTTTGTTCCAACAAAGCACCCTGTATTATTTAAAAATAGCATTTTTTTTAGTAAAGTTTTACAATATTTCAAGAGTCTAAAAATATTCTAAAAATGGGGTGTGGTTTTTAGAAAAAAGCTTTAAAAAACCGAATTGCTCTGCTGGCTTTTTTCAAAGGTTAGCAAGCACCATGTATTTTTAAAAATATAATATTTCAAGTGCATAAATATATGGTGTTGCTGTTTTTACAGAAAAAACTTTATAAAATAGAGGTGCTTTGCTGACTTTGTTCGAAGCTATAGAGCATTTTAAGTTTTGCAAAAAACGAGGAGCATAAAATTTTTGAAAAGGGTATAAAAATAGCCTAAAAATATGGCATATTTTTTAACTCAAAATTTCATAGGTGCTCTGCAGCATTCTTTGGTATCATAATTATTACTAGGTTCACTAACAAAATCTGTTTCTAGATTATTTTAACACTTGCTGCGATTACAAAAAATGCCTATATGTCAAAATTAGAAAAAAAATATTTATAGGTATAAAGGGCCTTATAAACTGTTTATTATATGTAATATAAAAACAAAAAAGCATAATAAATATTACAAACCTTGACATGCAGCATATCCTAAGCATATTGTGCACTAAAAATTTCATTTTTGTTATTTACAATGCAACCACATCAGAAGGTTTTTGCCGTACTTTATGTTTAGGTGTAATTTGTCTCCTTCTCTCTTATGGAAAAAGAAATTATCCCCATATTCTTGCTTGGCAGATCTAAAAATAAAACCTGAGATAAATATGTTTTACTTGCTCCATATAAACTGTAACTACCTACTATTAAAACAAAGTCTTACCTTTGTGACTTTTGTAAAGTGAGTATTGTTAAAAAATGCAGTAATCATCTCGGTAATCATATTTTCGTTTACAATGGGTAAAACACTTGATTCAACTTTTATAAATCCAGCTGATTCATATTAATAATAAAATTAAACCAAAACAAAAAACTAAGGTTAGATGGTGTCAATTTTAAATGTCACTTAGATGTGCGTTCACTTCGACATTCTGTGTGTTGGTTTGTTCGTTGGCTTGGTTTTGTATAACAAAAAAAACTTCGACACAAGATGATTGGTCTATTCCCGATGACGTATAATTTCAAATTTTAAATTTCAATTGGGCTTAATTTAAAAACTTTTGGCTTTTTTAACGAACTGACTATTTAGAATAACTTGTATAGCGACTAACTATTACAATATAATTTATAAAACAGCATATCTCACATGTGAACATGGCCCATTGGTTGTACATTTTAGGTGCAAGGTAAGCAAAGGATCGTTGAGTAAGTGATTTACCAACCTGAGGAAGATGATGAAGATTTCTGTTCCGAGTATTATAGTAATGGAATGGTAGATTAGGTTCTTTCGTGGTGAACTTGTATTTTTGAACCGAACAGTAAAAGTATAGTTGCCTAAGGTCCAGAATTTTGCCTTCCGAATACAATAGGTTACTAGGATAACGAAAATCTCGCGAAAAAATTATTTTTAAAAACCTTTTTTGTATTGTTTCTAATGCTTTCAAGTGACACCTAAGTGCACTTCCCCAAATAACAATGCCATATCTTAAATGACTTTCTACAAAGGCGTAATATAATGTTATTAGATTTTGTACAGGTAGATGTTTTTTTAAGTATTTAAATTTGTATAAAATACCCTGTAATTTTTTAATAGTATAATTTATATGGTATTCCCATTTCAGATGATTATCTATATATACACCAAGGTATTTTATTTCAGCAACAGATTCCAGTGCGTAGTGGTGTCCACGTGTCTCTATGGTTAGTTGGTTGTACAAAGGGAGACAACAAGCATTGCAAGTAAATGACATGTATTTTGTTTTATCCATGTTTATAGTGAGTGACATGTTATCTAGCCATCCCTTCACTTTCAGAAAGTCGCTTTCTGCAATATATTTTAGTTCATGCCAATTATTTGCCTCATAAAAAATTGCAGTATCGTCTGCAAATCCCAAAATTCTACCTCGACTATCAATTGAAAACAGATTATTTATATATATATTAAAGAGGACTGGACCTAAGACACTCCCTTGAGGCACTCCATACTTAATAAGCTCAGGTTCGCTAGTCTCACCATTTATTCTAACACTCTGATATCTATTAGTTAGGTAACTTTTAAGTAGGTTCAGGGGGATTCCTCTAATACCTATGTTTTCCAAACACTCTAGTAATAAACAATGATCGACTGTATCGAAAGTTTTACTAAGGTCAAGAAATATACAGAGACTTGGTCTGTTTTTTTCTAGAGCTTTGTGTATTTGGGAAACTAATGTTAGTATAGCATCCTCGGTTGACGTTTTTACTTTAAAACCATACTGTTTGGGAGATATTATATTAAACTTGTTTAGGAAATTGTTAAGTCTATTTTTTATTAATTTTTCAAACATTTTTGATAGATGCGTAAGTAATGAGATTGGTCGGTAATTACTGAAAATATTTTTATCACCTTTTTTAAAAATCGGTGTCACTATTGAAAGTTTAAACGCAGAGGGGAATATAGATTTTTTTATGCATTGATTTAGAATATATGTTAATGGATTTGCAATTGATAATGCCGTTGATTTTAACACTTCCGCACATATTTCATCAATTCCAGGTGCTTTTTTGTCTTTTAAATCGTTTATTAATGTTGTAACTTCAGACACATTTGTTTCAAGAAAAACCATCGAGTTTTGAAGCGTAATTTTAGGGAATGAAATCAAACTATCTTTTTTAATCTTTTCGGCTAGATTAACACCCACTTTAACAAATTGCTGATTGAACTCATTGCTGATAGCTTTATCGTTAGATAAAGTGTCTCCTTTTTCATTTTTAATAGCTTTAATTTTTTTTGTATTTTTTTTTTTTGACCACTCAGGTTTTGTACTATACGCCACAATTCGCTAGATTTGCCTTGATTTGAATTAATTAGTTGTTTGTAAAAATTATACTTGGCATTTTGAATTGTATTTGTTAATTTATTTCTATAAGTTTTATGTAAGTTTTTTAATTCAGTATTATTTGGCGTTCTCTGTAGTTGTTTAAATATTTTATTTTTTTCATTTATTAATTTCAGTATCGAATTTGTAGTCCATGGTGCAATTTTGGTGGTTTTCCTAATTGATTTTCTGATTACTGTACTTTCTTCTATAACATTCGAGAGAATGGTAATGAATTTATTTATTGCAAGTTCTGGATCCTCAGTATAAACATCATCCCAAAGTGCTAGTTTTGCCTTATATTGCAATTGTTTGTAGTTTATATGTTTTATACTTTTTTGGTGGCGGCTATGTTCACAGTTTACATTAATTATTTGTAAAATTGTAGTGTAATGATCGGTTATATCATTTTCTAATACCATTGGTATTATATTGTCTGTTCATGCAAAGTTTTAATAAAGATGTGGTCCAAACACGACTTGATATTATTTTGGACTCTCGTGGGAGAGTTGATTGTCGAAGTAAAGCCGTGTTCATGAAGTACATTAAGATAATCAAGTACCATCTGGGTATCAACCAGTAAATTAATATTAATGTCTCCACAAAATATGTGGTATATTTAATTTTTACTCTTTAGTGCATCAAAATATTCTTGAAGAGACAATATGAATTCGCCGGTATCAGATCCAGATGGTCTGTAGCATGCTGTAATAGCAATATATTTATGTCCCACTTTAATTCTAATTAATATAAAACTATAGTTATTTATGGTAATAATTTTATATGTATAGTCGTATTTCTCTTTTATATATACTAGAACCCCATCATTTTGATTGTATTTACCTCCGCTATAGACATGAGTGTAACCCGGAATATTAAATATATTGGAATCTAAGAGTTGCCAAGTTTCACTAAGTATAATGCATTCTACATTACAATCTAAATATTGTAAAAATAACTTAAATTCGTCCAAGTTTTTTCCCACACTGCGAATGTTATTATTAATAATAGTAAAATTTACATTATTATCATTGACCTTTAAAATTGTTTTACCTTCAGAGTTATTTTTAAGACTGAATGTTTCAATTACTGGTACATCAAAATCTCTAATATATCGATTCATTTAATTTTCATTCAGAATATATATCAATTCAATAGCTATATAATTACATTATTACATTAGTATCTAAATAATAAAGTAATTTTTAGACGAATTCAAAGCTTACATCTACTTACAAACTAAAATAAATTCAACTCTATCAGGATTAAGAATAAGTTTCGAGTTGAGCATTTAACTACAATAAAAGAATTAGCAAAATATTATTTTAGACACATATTAAATTTAATCAAATAACATCCATATCCTTTCACAGAGACACACGAGTATTGAAATACAGGTTGGCACCAAAAATGTTCGATAAACTTTAATTTATTATTAAGTAGGTACAATTATATTTTTTTTTAATAGAATTTTCATTTTTGTTTGGTTACACTTTTAAGACCTGATTTTAACGTAATTTTACTGTTCTTGGTTTCTGGTTTCCTTGAGTTTTGCATAGACTATTTATTCTTGCGGATCGTTTAACATTTGTTTCACAATTGTCAGTTACATTTTTTTTTCTATTTAGCTCATCATCGAGTTTTCCGGATTCGAATACCTCTTCTAGTTCTGAGTTTATATCTGATCTTCAATATCACTTTCTTCTGTTTTGTTCGTGTCTTCTATTGGTTTTTCACTATTCACTATTTCACTATCTGATGTTCCTTCTCGAATGTTTTGTAGTTGTTCTTGTTTCAGCTGTTGAGGTGTATACTTCTTTCCATTTACATAGAGATTATGATTTTTGATGTAGGCATCTAAATTCTTCGCTCTAGCTTCTTTTAAGTGTGTTCTCAGGAATTTTATTTCACATCTTTCTTCAGGAGATAACTCCTCACTTATATAGACAGACGTTCCTTTAAGTTTTTTACAATTTCTAAGGACTTCTTGTTTTTTGAAAAATGAGATAAACTTAACGATGATAGGCCTATTGATATTTTTTCCTATAGCAAAGACGTTATTTATATCAGATATAATTAACTGTAGTTGCAATAAGTTATTTAGTGAGTTTATAGTAAATTCTAGCAAGTTTCCTTCCTCCAACTGTAAGCCAAAAATTATAATGTTATTTCTTCTCACTTCTTTTTCGAGTTTGGTTTGTTTAATTTTTAGGTCGTCGTAATTCTTTTTTAATTCGGTATATTTCTCAGTTTGTTCTTCAAGCTTTTGATTAATTTTTTGTATTTCTATATCTATATGTGCCTTGATAACTTCCGTCTGTTGCTTATTTCCTTCTTCTACGTTCCTTTTAGTGGATTCTTCGATTATTTTTTTAATTTCATTTAATAAGTCTGTATTGACATCCATATTAAAACATTTCTTGGGCCACCATATATATTAATTGGTATATTGCCATCAATGATAATGAAAACTAGTTTTTATTGCGACAGGTATTTAATTTTTCGTTTCTGAGATGTATATTTGCAATAAAATTATGTATAAGACGGCTTTTTTAGTATTTAGAATCATATAAGGGACTTACCCTCGATATATTTTATGTATTATTCCACTGGCTATTTGTTTACCAAAAATCACAAATTTTGCAGCACTTTAAACCACCTATTTAGTCGATTTATTCAGCAGCGACACATTGACGTCTATTCCAAACAAAAATACCTTGAAAAATACCAAAGTAAATTAATATATAATTAAATTCGGTTAAAAAGTAAACAATAAACATAACCTTTATAGAATGTCAAAAGGTGCTCCAATGACATTAATTATTGTCAACAAATACTTCTTCTTTTATTTATTTTGAACAAGTGTTGACAATATTAATATCTGTAAGAGTCCCTAAATTCAGGAAGTTGCCTTGAACTTTGAACCCTTTCTTTTCTTTTGATGGCTTTTGTTAAGAGCACATGGTCCTAGAAGATAATTTTCGTAAGTTTTACGGATTTTTATAAGCTCATATATAAAGAAAATTAGACAAGATTATATTTTTAACGAGTGTTAAAATTTCATTTTATTTTGGATTTTTGGTCTGTCTAAAAAGAAAAAAATCTCTACATATTGGCCACACATCATCAAGGGTAAGTTTAATCAGTAAAAGTTTAAATAAGTATCTTACTCCGATTGTACTTATAATCTTCTAACCCCCCTAACTCTCCGGGTCACAGTAGTGACAAATAATTATTCTTTTTATTTGGGCATAGAAATATACAAACTAGTTTAGTTAGGGATAATTAAATATAACAAGGTATTGTATTTATTGTAAATCTACGGAACACAGTTCCAACGAGTTTAATTGTCCTGAATATAATAGACAAAAAGAAATCAAGCAACTAATGTCATTTTGGAACATATCTTACTTCGAAGCCAACCAACAAATTCCAAAAAATAGAGAAAACCCTATCCCTAATATTAATGACCTTCCAGCCCTTCCCAACAGGGGTGCACATCAAAATGGTATCCCAGTCTCCAAAAGAAGATCAGAAGCCTTGTCTAATACAAGGTTACCCACCTACAGTCAAAAAATAAGAACGCCAAAACGAAGGAGATCACATGATGAATATGATAAGAAAAAGCATCAAGAATGCTTAATTAGTCCATCCATCGGGAAGATCATCCAGTCTCCCAAGTCGACCCTTATCGTCGCCCTTTCGGCCTGAGGAAGGAAATAATATTAAAATAGATGTTATTCAAGCCTTGGATAGCTTATCGGATCAACACAAGGAGTTAGTCATGACTTTCATAGGTAATATTATCAACTCTTTTTATTCTGTATCACACAACCCAATGCTTCTCCTACAGGTCCAGCAGGACCTTTAAATTCTTTCTCTCAGTCAGGTCTAATGGAGTACTCTGAAGATTCAGAGTACTAATTATCTGTTATTATGCTCTTTGATCCATTAACCATTATTCAATGGAACATTCGCTCTTTTAACTCAAACATAGATAATCTAAAGATCCTAATTAAGGACCACAATCCAGACATAATCCTACTTAATGAAATTTGGATGAAAGAAAATTATAGGTTAAGGTGTAGAGGTTGCCAAAAATTGAGAAATGATAGATTGGATGGCTATGGAGGTATAGCCTGTTTAATTAAAAACAATTAAGATTTTCAGCCTCTTCTAATCGATTATTCTCTAGATCTTCCAACTCAAGTTCAAGCCATCTATTTCCCCCACTGCCAATTAAATTTAGTGAATATTTATTGCCCAGGAGATAACCTTATATTCAAAAATAATTGGTCTAACTTTATTCAGACCTTTAACAAACCTCTTTTGATTATGGGGGACTTAAATTGTAATTATGTGTGTTGGGGAAGCTCCTCAAATAGCTCAAATGGTAAAAATATAATAAATTCTTTAGATTGTTTACAATTAGTGTTTTTAAATGATGGCTCTCCTACGCGAATTTCTCCACCAAATGGTGGTAAATCTGTCGTGGATTTAACCTTTTTTTCAATAGATTTGGCTTACAAATCAACTTGGGAAGTGATTCCGGATTTGGGCTTTAGTGACCATTTCCCTACCAAATGTAAGATAGGAATCCCTAATAATGGCCCTCCCACTTCTAACAATAGAAGAAACTTCAATAAGGCAGATTGGAATTCTTACTTTAATAAACTGATTACTCTTATTCCTTCCTTACCCAAAGATAATTTTTATGAGTTCATATGTATATAATAAATCAAGTTGCTAATACTACTATTCCCTTCTTCAAGCCTAACAGGAATGTTAAATATCATATCCCTTGGTGGGATGATTCATGTAATGAACTTGTATCAAACAGGGTACATCTATTAGTAATTTCATGGAAAGTCCAAATTTAGATAATCACATCCAAGTTAAAAAAATATATAGCTACCAGAAAAGTTCGTAAATCTAAACAAAAAAATAACTTTAGGATGTATTGTAACTCTCTCAATCGTCATTATTCCCTGAAGTCCATTTGGAATAAAATTAATAACATTTCTGGTTTAAATCAAAATCTCTCGAATCTAATGCCTACCCAATCGATTTCACAAGAAATCTTAAAAATTCTTTTCCCTCCTTCCCTGGAAAATGTGTGTCAAATTAATAGCTAAACTCATTCAGAATCCCCCTTTATTCTTAATGAATACTCAAGTATGTTAAATTTGAAACGAGACTCTTCTCCAGGCTTAGATCTTATTTCATACTCTATGCTAAAAAATGTACCTCGTTCAGGCTCCTTGTTTCTTCTGAGTATCTTTAACAAGTGCCTTTTAACAGGCTCAATTCCTCAACAATGGAATCAATCCTTAATTCTACCCATAATTAAGCCAAATAAGGATAAAATGGTAGCTTCAAATTATAGGCCTATTTCCCTTTCCTCTTGCGTAGGCATAGTATTAGAATCCTTAATCAAAAATCGACTTGAATGGCATTTGGAAAATAACCAAATTCTTAATCCCTTACAATTGGTCTTCAGAAGAGGCAGGGGTTGTCTATCGTACCTCACAAGTGCAAATAGGCTTCTCCCTTAATGAATTTACTATTAGTCTCTTCATCTGCAATACTTCCAGTACCTTCAAATTTTTTAAGTCATTCCGAATAAAAGTCTGTATACGCTTCGTACGAAATTGTTGTTTTGATAAAACAATCGCAAAATTTGCATGCATTGAGCAGTCGTCAAGGGATCCATTTCGTAAATGTGTTTCTACAAATTGACTTTTGACACTTCGAAAACAAATGCTTATTACCAACTGTCTGATTTACAGTAGTGCCAATATAGAAAACTAAAATTGGACCACCCTTTATATTATGAAACATTTGTTAAGGCCAAGTTCAATGACAAGTGACGGCAAATTTTTTATCACAAGAAATACAGTTCTGAACGTTAATATTTTAAAAAACTGTTTTCATAAATGGGTTCAAAAAACTGTAAAAAATGATGAAAAGTCTATGGTTTGTTTTACTTTTAATGCATAATATTTTAATAAGTGATATTTAACAAATATTTAAAAGTTATGGACTTTCCATCATTTTTTATAGTATTTAAAAGTTAAAACGCAACATACATTCTTTTATTTTTGCCTAATTATTTCAGGATTCTTGTGATAAGATTTAAAAATGTAGGGCCCATAAGATGCTGCCATCTGAACAGACGGAATAGACACTAAAAATTGAAAAATTGCAACATCGCTCCCTATGCAGACGAATGTAAAATGGCTTAGCCCAATTTGACCATGTTTCTGGGTTAGGGGCGAGGTGGTGTGCAGGGAAAGGTTGCAAGTAAATAAATTATTCTATAAATGCTATTTTCTGTTTGGAACACAACACAAGCATGTTTGTTTTGAAAGTTTGACGTTTATGGTTTGACGTGTCATTTCAATTTAATGGACTTTAATAATTTAAAAGATGCAATGTACTTATATTATTTATATATTATATTATTGTAGATCCAGGTATGTTTTCGGTTTTTATTTTCTTTATTTGGCTAGTTTGCTAATATCACAATATTCAAATTTAGTAAAAAATAATGTAATAATATAACAATTATTTTAATAACATTCTAAATAGGAAATGTAATTTAACTGCAATTGTTTTGATAACAGTATTTGCATATGGTCTGTGAATTTCATCTGTTTCCGAATAATTACCCTTAAATATTTGAATTTTTATACTGTATAGATTTTCTTTCAATTTCCTATATTGTTCGTCCACAAACTGCATATAGTTATTACTTATCAGCTTATATTTTGTTTTAGGTATTTGTGTTGATTTTTAACAAATGCTTTCAACATCATTTATAAACATTTTGCAGAGTTTCATTGACAATTAACTCTTACTAAGTTTTCTGAATCCTTACAACTTACAAGAAACATAGATAAGGACATCATAGGCTAACAGGTAAATGTTATATTGATTATTGCGACATCAAAAATCATTAATATAAATTAAAAATAACAGGGGACCTAATTTTCTTCCTTAGTTGTGGTTAATTTCTTCTGATCAGGACAGCGATTCTTTTGTGCGAACTCGACACATTACATACAGAATAGAGAGAGATATTACATTAAAATCGCTGTCTGTCGAACAAAGGAGTCTCGATAGGAGACGTACTGAAAGATGAGAATCCCACTACATATGTTATTTAATTTTAATCTCTCTGATCTGATACTTAGATAATCTACATGCTACCCCAATGCATGCTTTATAGCATAGATATAAAAAACACCTTTATACAAATACTTTTTAATTTTTTTATCGAATGGTTTTGATCAAAAGAATCAAGTGCATTTTAAAGAAATACAATTAATTTTTAATTGTACATATGGCGGGTTGTACAATAGGCAGTTCAAATGTAGACTTAGTTTAAACTGTGAACCTTGTTGTATACTCATCGGGTATTGTTAAACATAGTTTTAAAAATGACATTTGTTTTTGAATATAACTAGTTAAAAATAAAACTCTTGTTAGTTAAAATATGTTTAGAATATTTTTTGTACAACCTGCCCATAATGTATTTTGTAATTATTAAAAATCATAATATTCTTGTAAGGAAGTTGGAAAGCTTAGGGTTTGATCAGTCGCTGTTGAGATTATTTTCATCTTGCCTAAATCATCGTTTTAATTATGTCTTTTACAACGGATTTTCATCTTCACCCCTCACAGCAACATCTGAAGTTCCACAGAGCTCCAACCTGGGGCCACTATTATTTGGTATATTTATAAATGACTTGGCAATAAATTTAACCTGCTGTTCGCTGCTAACTTAATATTTACCTCAATCTCATCAATTCAAGACTGTTACTTTTTACAGACCCAACTTGGGAATCGTTGAAAATTGGTCTAATGAAAACAAGCTGTTTATGAATGTGTCTAAATGTAAAGTATGTTCCTATACTAGAAGTAATAAAAAGGTGGAGTTTGATTATTTATTTAACATCCTACCTTTATCGGGCTTGTGCACAAATTGAAGATTAAGGTATATTATTCAACCAAAAAGTTACTTTTTCGGATTATATTGAAAATACCGTTGCTTCTGCGTTGAAAAGCTTAGGGTTCTTAATTCGTAATACTCGTTCTTTTACAAACTCTTAAAGCTTGGAGATCCTTACTTTTCTTTAGTTCATTCCAGGCCAGAATATGCATCTATTGTCTGGAACCTTATTTACAATATTCATAAAAGATCATTGGAAAATGTTCAGCGGCGATCTCTCAAGTACCTTTCTTTTAAAATAGATGAGCTGTATCCCATTCGAGGTATTGAAGAATCTCTGCTTCTTTCGAAAATAGAAGGGTAGTTTCCAGTGTTACATTTTTTATAAAATATTACATAACACTATTGATGTACTATTTTTGATAAATTAAATAAATTTTAATGTTCCCCAAACAGCCATTAGATATCATAAAACATTTTATACAGCAAGTATTTGAACGAACTTGGGAAGAAATTCACCTATAACGCTAATGTGCTCAAATTTTAATTAATTTTGTTCTGATTGGGATATTTATTTCGACCATTAGTTGTACTAATTTGTAGCTAATGTATTTATGATTCTTTCTTTTCTTTTTTCTTGCTGTTGCTAAAATTATTTTCTGTCGAAATATTATGCTTAACATTTATTTCATGTATTTTGTTCTGTAAATGGATTAATTTGTTGGACAATAAAATTATTTTTATTTTAATAAGCAAAAAAATTTTTATTTTGATGCACCTACCACCTTTAAAAGTTTGTCAGTATATTAACGAGAAATCCTATATAATTCCCAAAGAAAAATATTTTTGGAATAAATTCCGAATTCTATTTATTGATATTTGTTATTTTTTAGGATTAATGACTCGAAACATGATGATCAGCTACACCAAGAATATCCTTGAGATTAAGCAGATTTGATGCTATGGCACA